TATATATATATATACTAAATTAATTTCGAAATATAAGTTTAATTTCCAAAAGTTAAATAAACTTCAAAAAAAAAAATAATAAGTTTCGAAAAGTTAAGTTAGTTTCGGAAAAAAAACCATTTCGAGTAGCTAAATTATTTTCGGAAAAAAAAAGTTTTACAAAGCCTTTGTAAAACTTTTTTTTTTCGAAAATTATTTACCTTTGTTTACCTCAAAATTTATTTTAATCCTAAAAATAGTTTCAGACCTACAACAGCTAATACACTTGGTTTAACAAAATTACGGGCTCAGGTTTAATTAGGATAGAGCTTTTACTTCCTAATAGGAAGTAGCAAAACCTAAGCACTACTTAAAACTAAAAAAAAAAAAAAAAGCAGGGTTTGATTTTTGAATTTAAGGTTTGGGTTGTCAAATGGCAACATTGGGAAAGACAGGGTTAATTAATTTCATTCTCTATAAATATCTTATTTTTTATCATATTGCAACTGTAAATATTTGTATTAATTCCAAACTAAAATTTTTAAGTACAACTAAACTATAAATAAATTAGCAAAAACTATGCAATATTCTAATGTGTCTGTGTCTAAGATCAAAGAAAGAACATATTTGTTTCGGAGGATAGAAAAATGCATTAGTGAAAAAATCACGTTACAGAAAGAGGCCAGACAAAAAATGGTCTACTCTTAGTACAACAATAAGAAAATTCGCGGTGCTCAGTGATAAGATTGTAAGGACTTCTGGAGGCACTTAAATAACTTCAAAAAAAAATTATAATAATAATGATAACTACATATTTATTTTAGAACTTTACTGTTAACACAATAATTACATATTAAATATATAATTTCACTATTATCATGCATCCGGCACATGCAAAGTAAGAAATCTTTTTACCTCGTTTGTGTTCAGTCAACTTTTCTAGATATAAAAATCGCTCCTAAGATTATCGTATCTAAGTCGAATACATCTGGAAAACAAACACACTAAATTATTGTTGTTTGTCTTTCTCAGGAAGAATGTTTTTCATACATATGAACAGCCCTTTCGAACAATGTTAAATATTCGTTTTACAAATTTGTCCGAGTTTCATTTTTTTGTTATTATAAATATTCATATAAATGCAGTTTTCAGAATTAATGTAATTAAATAAATAGTTTGAATTAATTATAAGAATTTCGAAAGTAAAAAATTGTTTCAATACCATATTTATGATTTTGATAATATCAAAATATTTCGATGAAAATAATAGAGATTCGAAAATGAAATTTTGCTTCGGTGCCATTTTTTAAATTTCGATCGCATAAAATTTTTTCGATGCAAATTAAAGAGTTACGAAAGTGATGAAAAGTTTTGGTGCCATTTATAGAATTTCGATGATATAAAAATATTTCGATACAAATTAGAGAGTTTCGAAAATGAAAAATTGATTCGGTAAATTTTCGATAATGTAATATATTTCAATACAATTTTCAAAGTTTCGAAAGCGAAAAATAATTTCGGAACTATTTTTAGGATTTCGACACCTAAAAAATATTCGATAGAATTTCGTGAATTTCGTAAAACAAAATTCATTTTGGTTTAAAATTAAGTAATTAGAAATCGTTTTAAACTTACCGAAACAAAAATAGAGTTTCGAAAAGTTTTATCGAAAAGTTTTATCAAAAACTCAACTTTTGCAAAAGTGAACAACCTTAATTTTAACTACATTTAAATTGGAGCCGTTGCAATCAGTCCTTCCACGCAAAAAAAAATAGAAATTTGAAACTTCCATTTAATTACATTGTTAACCTAAGTTTCCTTTTAATTCCTAAATTTCAATTTCATTTCATGTTATAAATTCTAAAACTCATAGAAAATATGAGGAGTTCATTTGCAAAGTCCGAGCAAATTGGTTTTGAGATATTGAAGGAAAACTGGCACACACGTATTTTGCACTTAAAAAATAAATTTGTTGGTAAAAGTTACTATAGCGTAGTGATACAAATAAAGTTTGCGTATAAGAAAAAATGCAAATCAATAGGGTCATGAAATAAACCAGATTAAATTATTGCCTCAGCTTATTTTGATAATGTTAGATGGACTTATTTTGAAAAAGGTTACTTTACAAAAAACTATATAAGTATATATAAATATAAGCTTTATTGAATTCATACAAGGTTTGTTTTATTTTAAAAAAGCATTTAAAAAATTTTAAAGGAAAAGCTTAGATTTTCATGAATTATTAAAAAAAGTAATAGTATATAATAATGGGCAAAAACAAAACACTATGGTAAAAGTTGTAGTTTTTGTATTAAAAATATTGACCAAAGAAAATGTTGTACAATGAAGTTAAACATGATTACAAGCAGCATCTTCTCTAAGACAATATAGTATCTTCCTCGCTATCTGGGCCTAAAAAAAAAAAATTATTAAATTCAGTTTAACGGCGGCTAAAATAAATCATCGTTTTAATAGCACGTGAATCAAGTTCACCTACAACGTTATTTTTGTTAACAGAAAATAAAAACTAATAAACGGGGGGTTGTGGTGTTCTTAATAAGCTTGGATGTATGGTAAAAATTTACAAAAATTAATCAAAGTCTCCTTCCGTGTATTAGACACCTAAGAGTAGATATAAAAAAAATATCACTCGCGTTGATTAAAAGATTTATTACTTATAATTTACAAAATAAATAAAAAATGCTACCTTTCTTTTTTTTCCTTTCCGATAGTAAGATGGTTGTTTGCTTTTTCTCCAACAGCTATAAAACTTTATCCATTTTGTATTAGGTGATAAATTTTGAATAATTTGATGCACTAAGAAAAAGTGCGGTAATAGTTAATACAAAAAGACTTTTCATTGGTTGTTAAAAAAACATAACGTCAATAATCACTTACCTGATTGGCTTCTGACTTAGCATGTTTTGAAGCTTTAACCCAGTTGCACTTATAGTTTTTATAACCCAGTTGGACCCAGTTTTTATATTTCCCTTGCCGGTTTTTAGGACTAAGAACCTTTTTATAGAACTAATATTTAATTAGATGATACATTTCAGTTTATAAAATATAGAAATGAAATTTATTTAAAAATATTTTTTTTGTGACTTAGCGCGTTTTGCAGATGGGTTCCTCATATCATACAGAAATAAATAAAAAAAAAAATCTTCTATTTTCTTATAATTTTTTTGCTTAAAATTATGCTAATAATTTTTTTTTTTTTGCCGTTTAATTAATAATTTTGTTTTTTTTTGCCGTTTAATAATCTGCCTGTTTGAAAGTTTACAGTTTGATAAATTTACAATAAATGCATACTACCTATATAAATTTAGACTGAAGTAAGAAGACATAAACTGTCTTATCACCAAGCCCCGTTTACATGTTGTCTGTGTTTATATAAAAACAAATAAAAATACATATAAATTTTGCAAAATACTAAAAAATATCTTTAAAAGAACGTGAAACTTTAGTATATTTCTACTGATTAAAAATAAAAGTAATATAAACATACATAAGGTAGATTGGGCAATATGAGCTTTATATTTTTAGATGTAAGTAGTGAAGATTAAGTTGCTTTATATTTTTTTTAATCGACTTTATGACTTTATAATTAGTGTAAATTTATATGCGTTGTTTTTATTATTTTAGCGTTGTTAAAATAATATCATCACGGATGAATAAATCTGTGGCGCAAAATTTTGGTACTTAAATAATGAAGTTTTATTTTTTCATAAAGAAAAATATTTTAGCTAGAAATCCGTTTCATTTTTGTTTGAAAAACAATGCATAGAAATATTCAGGCTATATTTAAAGATGCCATTTTTGTGTAATATAAGCATGCTCAAATTACACAGTGTTTTTCATTGAAATTATTATTATTGTTATTATTATTATTGTTATTATTACTATTGTTATTATTATTTAATGTACCGCAACAAGCTATAGCTTGTGTAACCAATTCTGGTTTTATCGGCCTACACAAAAATTTACAAATTATTTTAAGATAAGTTAATTAAATGGGAATAAAGCCAATTTCATCGTTAATCATCTTCAAGGTTTTCCGATTTGAAAAATTTATCTAATCTTGCTTTGAAACTATTTACAGTTGTGGCAGTGATTATGTTTTAAGGCAATTTATTCCAAGTGTTCACCATACGATTTGTAAAAAACTGATGATGCTGTTTATTGTTTTTAAATAACTTTCTAACTAGCTTAAAGTTATGACCTCGCGTTCGACTTTGATTAAAATTTTTTTGTATAAGAGAGTGAATTTACATTACACCAATTTACAATATCGAAGCCATTTATTATTTTGAAACACTGTATTAGATCACCTCGAACTCTATGGTCAACAAGAGATTGAATACCCACAATTTTTAATCTTTTTTTGTAATCCAATTTTGTGAGTGATGGAATCAAACGAGTTGTTCGGTTTTGTACTAATTCGATTAAAATTATGTCATTGTTTTGTTAAGGGTTTTACGCCAATATTGCGAATTTCAAATAAAGTCTCACAAAGGCTGTAAACAATGTTTTAAGAAGTTTGCTATCCGTATAGGTGAAAGTCCTGCTTAACATTCCAAGTATTTTATTTGCTTTATTTGATGCATACATAACTTGACTAAGATGTTTTGTCTTACTAGATAAAATAACACCATAAATCCTTTTCATCGTTTGTACTGCATATATATTGTTATTTTATTTGCTATCGATGGAATTGTATAATTATGATGTTTGTTTGATTTGCCGAGATGCATTACTTTGCATTTTGACTCATTCAAATAAAGAAGCCATGTTTGGGAACATTTTGCGATTAAATTTATGTCATTTCGGAATACATTTATATCGCTGATATTATTTATTTTTGCTAATAGTTTAGTATTGTTAGCATACAATTTATTTACACTTTTTAATCGTTCTGGCATATCATTAATATATATTATAAATAAAATAGGACCTAGAACAGATCCACCATACCGAACCTCTTTCCATTCTGATGAAAATTCTGCCATTATCACTTTTTGTCAACGATTTTTTATAAAAAATTCAAGCCACTTTAAAGTGTGAACAATAATTTCATAATTCGACAACTTGTGAATTAAATATCTATGCGGAACAACAACGAAATCTTTGGCAAAATCCACGAATACTACATCAACCGCATTTCCTTTAGGTAATGAATAGGTAATGAAGTCCATTGTTTCAATTAAATTAGTTGTACATGATTTGTTGTGCACAAAACCATGTTGATTAGTTGAAATTAAGTGATTTTGTATTAAGTGTTGGACCATACTGTCTTTGACATTTTTTTCCATAACTTTACTAACAACTGACGTCAAAGAAATTGGACGATAATTGCTTGTAATTAATTTGCTACGTTTTTTATATAAAGGTGCTATGTGTGCAGATTTCCAATCAATTGGACAAATACCTGATTCTATCAAAAGTGTGAATATATAACTTAAAGGTGTTGCTAGAACAAAAGCACAATTTTTTAATACAAATGGACTTACTCCGTCTGGGCTAACAGATTTATTTGGATCCAACTTCACTAATATATTGTAATCCAAATTGAAATCAAATAAAGGTGTGCCGCATATATTGTTTGTATGCTTTTCGAATTTTGGTACTTTGGTAACATCGCTTTTTGTGAATACATCTTGAAAATGATCATTTAAAGTATTTGCTATTTCATTTGGATCTGTGATCGTACAATCAAAACTACCTAGTTTAAAGTCCTAAAATCGCAGTGGTTTTAATTGCTTTTTGAATAAAAACAAAACATAGTAAAAGTATTTAATACTTTAACAACGCTAAATATTTTTCTATAATTTTGAACTTTTATCGTTCAAAAATTTGAGTTAATAAAATTAAAAAAACAACGTGCAATTTTTTTTTTCTGCGGAAAACAAAGTAGTTTTTCAATAAAAAGTGGTTAAAAATTTGATCTTTTAATAATAAGTTTTATTAATAACGAATCATTATATTCCAAAAATTAGTTCTAATTATCAGGTTGGTATTTTTTAACTTAATTTATGTTACTTTGAATGTGTGCCGAGGTAAAATGTACCCAGTGCCCCCTCCCTCTCTAGACGGCATTGATGTGAGGCGACATAAACTTTTCTTTTATATATTTTTTAATACTTTACAGTCCAAAGTAATTGTTCACCTAAAAATACACCTAAAAGTTTAGTTTACATCTCTCTGTTTGTGTTATTTTGAGATTCGGCAGCTTAATGGAAGCTATTTCTGATTTATTTACTTTATAGAATAGATAAACTTGGTTTAATCCACATTCAGTGAAAATTTGTTATTAATAAATCATTTATTAAATTTTACATAACTGCTCTTTTGATGTTTTAAAAAGTGGTTTTACATCTCTGCGGAATACTGCATGGGACCGCAAATCTTGTTAATTTCAAAACAAATGTTCGATTGGTATTTTTACGTACACAGTTTGTTATGGTCGACAAAGGCGATTTGTATTTTTACGCACACAGTTTGTTACGGCGATAGAGGCAAAAAGAGAAAATGAATAATAATAATAAAGAAACTATTGACCTGGCCTTGAATGCCAACGGTGCTTGAATGCCACGGTGCGGCCGTGGCCCAGTGGTTAGAGCGCTTGCTTTATAAGCAGGAGATCCAAATTCGAAACGAACCTTGGAAATATTTTTGCGTTATGGTAAGGAAGGAGACGTGAACTTCCTGGTTAAATGCATTTCCGTTTGGTCTTTTTGAGGCACCTAAATAATGATAGAATAAAATGAAAAATTGAATCACGCCCAAGAAATTTTCGAAACACTAAACGAGCCTCAGAAAAACCAGTTATTTTATTAGTCATCAAACAATCTAAGCAGTACCAGAGCATGTAAAGTATACATTCAAAACCGAACACCCAACATCAGTTATGATGTTTAGCCTGGTTTCTTCTGATGGTCCTCCGGTTTTCATAAAATCTGGTTAGAAAGTCAACACCAATGATATGTACTGTCATAGATGTATCATCATAGATTTTTTTAAGTCTTTGAGTAATTTAATTTTGAATAAAATAACTTTAATTCTGAATGGATTTTTTTATATAAAATTTTTTTATAACGAATTTGTTTTTGTTTAAAACCTCCTTGTTGTTGGTATTTTTTTGTAACATATTTTTAAAACTGAAATAAGATCTATTTTCCTACTTCAAGTCAAATTTCATAAAAAAGCTGGCACCATATTATTTTACCCTTAACAGGTACCTATTTTTGGCTTCAATTACGTTATACTCTGGGGTGTGGCAAGTGAATGGGTAGGTTTGAGAATAATATACATTTTAATATTATGAAACTGATACAATTGTTTATTAATAGTTTATATATATACAAACACACACACACATGACTTTTTTACTTTAGATGTATCCTGCTTTCTAGAAAGTAAAAAGTGAACTTAAAGAAGTTTATAATTTCTAGATTTATATCTATTTTTTGCTAAGCTGTTTAAGGATAAAAAGTAGTTTAATAAATAATTTTTTTTTTGTACTTTAAGATACAATAAACGGAAATATTTAATATTAAACATTCAGAAAGCGTTTTAAAATCTCCTATTTTATTTAAAAAACCATATCGAAAACCTTGAAAAAACCATATCAAAATTTTGCGCAATAAAGTTTCAAAAAATATCGGAATAAAGCGAGAAATTTTGTAAATAGACATTCATTAATTCAACTTTATCAGTCGCTAATTCAATGCCATATAAACTATGCAAATTTGCATAGTATGTGATATTACGATTATACGATATTAATATCGTATGGGGTAGTGCTAAAAAAATTCAATTAGATCCTCTATATCGGCAACAGAAGCATATAGCACGTTTAATAAACTTTAAAGATCGTTATACTCAGGTCAGACCTCTTTTATTGGAAATTAATGTTTTTAATATATACCAGCAAATCTAACCCCTATATCCTTTCAAAATTTATATGCAATAAAACAAAAAAACAAATATGAATTAAGAAATGACAATCTTATTTAACATTATTCTCATACAAGTTTTGGAAGATCTCTTTTAACATATCGTGGAGCTCTTCTGTGGAACAAAATAGTTTTGAAAAATTTTGAATTTTCCCAAAGTTGGAGTTTTCTTACTTTTAAAATTAAGCTCAAAAAAGTTATTTTGTTAATTGATAATATCTTTGAGTTATTTTGAGTTTATACCTTTTAAAAAAGTGTGTGATTCCTAATTATATTGTTTTATTTTGAAATTTTTAGTTTTATATATATTTTTTATGTTGTTAAACGTTATTTTATGTTTTGAAATATCTGGTAAGATTTTATTTCTAAACGTCATTTATTGTAATTATTTAAATGGTTATATTTTTACTGCATTGTTAAATGGTTCTCAGTGACAGGATCTCACGATCCTCTTTGAGTCTCCGTGTTCTGATATTTAATGTACAACGATATTTGTACTATAGTATATTGTAATAAGAACAAAAAAAAAAAAAATTATCCCCTAAATTTTAATTGATATCTACTCCCATCCCAATGAGTTGAACGCTCCAATAAATATAAATACTTATTCATTTTCATTTGTTTTAAATTATACTTTGTAAATGAAAGGTTTAATTTAAAAGAAAGTTAATTCCCGATAACTCGAACGATAATAATTCTAAAGCGTAAACATTTAATATACTATTTTGTATATTTATTGTTTATATACTATTTTTATTTAAATACTATTTTGTATATTTATTGTTTTTACATTGTCTATAATTAAAGTGTAAAAAAATTTCAGCAAAAGAATATACATTTTGTATTCAAGCAGCAGATTAAAAAGATACCAAATAAAAGTTTAACAACACAATGACGTCTTTAATGATTGGTTATGAAGTTACCAGTACAATTTTAGTCTCACTTTAATTTTTCTAGCTTTTAAAAGCTAGTGGTTTTTTATTTAATAATTCATCAAAATTATAAAATAAGTACTTTTTTTATCGGCATGTTATAATGATTTATTTTAATAAAGTTCGAGTGTTCGAATTTTTTAAAATGAATCATTATAATATGCAGGAATTGATTGTATTTTCCGATTTACTTAATAATGTTTTTACCATAATCGTAGCAGTCAAAAAAACTTATTTTTATTAAGCAAATACAGCATTAACACCCATAGATAGAATTTGTTAATCCTTCGTAAAATAAAAATCATCATGCAATAATATCTAAAATTTCTGAAAAAATATATTTCACGACAGCACTACCATAAAGAATAGGAAAGCCATATGATACAAGTGCGACACAATTTTAAATCCAGCCACCGCATGAGCTGTATTTCAGTACTCAAAAAAGTTGGTCAATAATGGACGTTATCATCGGATAATATTTATAAATACTTTTACTTTAAATACTTAAACTTAAAATATTTATAAATACTTAAAAAAACTTAAAATGCCTGCTTTTATTATAAATACTTAAAGTTGTACTTTTTGCTCCCCTTTTTTCAAGGTCCTGTTGAGCTTAACTAACACACTAAAGATAATGTTGAGCGTAGAAACAACCATATACGGTTGTTTATAAGCTCAACATTATCTTTAAATATAAAAACATTGTGCAGCATAATAAATGATGAAATTCAAAAATGTCCTGAGTTATAAATATCTAACTGTTATTAATGCACTCTAATAAAAACAATTTAATTTTAAATAATTAAATAATCTAACTTTAAATAATTAAAACTTTAAAACTTGTCAAAATAACAACATCCTTAGAAACGAAGATCTATCGTTCAGCATGCTGTGAATAGAAACTCTGCAACTATAGATAAAATAAAGATTATTTGATATTTAAATATAATAACTGTAAAACACCATTAAAATTTAGGAGAGAGAGGAGATTTCAGCGATTGGATGAAAATAAAACAAAATAACTTGACTTGGTGTGAAATTTTATCATTAAAACAAATATTGATAAAAGCAATCCTTTAATGTTTGCTTTTTAATCTCATGCAATAAAACCTTAAACAAAATAGATGTAGTATTTTAAAATAATAATAAAAAAAATAGTGTAAAAAATAGTAAATAAGCTTTGGTTTTTTTTATACCATATTACGACCAAGTCAACTCGGGTGGGTGAATATCGGTAGCTACCCGATTACCTAAAATAATTTCTGATATACACATTGTATGTATATATGTACATACTATGTATATATCATATACATGTATATATGTACATAGTATGTATATATGTACATTAGGGTGATAACTTTTTTTAAATCTTGTATGGCCATGATGCCACTCAATGAGTTTTAGGCTAAAAATAAAAAATATCTTAATTATAATTTAAAAAAATTAAAAAACTTTCCCCATAAAGCGAAAAATGTTTTTAATATATTTAGCCTTTCCGGTATAAAGTCATGTATTTCTAATAAAAGGTATCTATATATAAATGTTAAAAATGGGATTGCGCAAAATATTTTTTTTATGTATTAGGATATTAGAAAAGACGTGAATAATTACATTTTTCTTAAAAAGTTCATCTATTGTGGGCGGAGGGCGTTTAAAAAATGTCAGCTTTACGAAAAACTTTAAAAAAAAATAGTATAACAAACTTTTTATTGTTATTTTCAATGTGCATAATACTACTAGTAAAAAAATGAGGTGAATCATAAAACATAGTCATCATTTAACAAATTTATAACATATATATATCATTTAACAAATTTATAACATATTTTATCACATTTAACAAAATTATAACAGCATTTAACAAATTTATAACATATATATATATATATATATATATATATATATATATATATATATATATATATATATATATATATATATATATATATATATAAAGGTAATCTTTTTACCTTCTCAAAAAAGCTACCAATATTTCTAAACAAACATAACATCAACTTCGTTGCAATAAATGGCTAAATCTACTCGAGCTCAAACAATATTAAATTACACGAGCTAATGGGTAATGGACTCGAACTTTGTTATCAGAGATACCTACGCTGAGAGATAGTTTACGATATGAAATTTTGTTGCGTGATGGATCAGAAAAGAATCAGACTCAAATGGTGAGGATATCGGTATATGCTAAAATATTAAAAATATTTTTATCAATTTTTGTTTGAATTGTGAATTAAAAAAATGAGTATAAATTGAATATAAATTGTTTTCATAAAAAATTATTTAACATAATTTGTTTTCTTCTTTAGCAGTAGAGTTTTTAAACAACAGACGATTCAGACATTGGCAACGGAAAAGCAAATAATACAGAAAAAGCTGATTTCAGTTTGAAAAAAAATTACTAAGATATTACCAGAGTTTCTCCAGTACCTATTAGGCATGGGGTATCTAACTGAGCAGCAGCCATAGCTACTGCTACTTTAACTTCTACAAAAGATGCAAATTTTTAAAAGAAAAATACTGATATTTTCGTTAATCATAACAAAATAAATAGAAGTAAGACTAACGGTAACGAAAGAAATCCGAGCTGAAAAAGTAGCAATGAATGATAATATTAAATGTATATTTTTTTTATGGATAAAAATATTTAACTAAATACACGAGAGAAAAATAAGATGGAAAATTACATCCATCGGAAAAAAAAGAACATTACTCAGTTTGTTCTGAACCTGGAGGAAAATACCGATTTCATTTCACTAACAATTCTGAAGAAAGAGAAGACACTGCAGCTGAGCAAATAGCTGATAATCTTTACGAATGGATTGTGAATCATGATGTTGAAGACTATTTAGTTGCCATTAGTGCGGACTCAAAAAATTTAAACACTGTTTGGAAAGGAGGTGTTATCCACTACCTTGAACATAAATTGGATAAAAAACTGTCCTGGATAAATTGTGCTCTTCATACAAATGAACTACCTCTCCGACATCTTATGATTCAGCTTGACGAAAAAGCAGCATCTAAAAATAACTTTTCTGGTTCTATTGGAAAACGTATAGGTTAGGCAACTAGCTTCAAAGTCAAAGATAGCATAATAAAAATTGAATTTTCTAATCCAATAATAGAACTTGACTCTGAAGTTGTAAAATCGCTACCAGATGATCAAAAGTATTTTTAACAAGTTACCCATGAAATTAACGCTAGGGTTTTTCCGGGAAATCTTTAAGGTAAAAAAATTGGGCCACAATCGCATGCAAGATAGTTGAATTTCACAAATAGAATATGTTTAATTTGGTGGTCCGAAATCGTACTTTCAGTTGAAGAAACATATAATCTTAAACTTCTGGTGGAATTTATTGTTGGAGTTTATTGTTGGAGTTTATGCGGCACTTTGGTTTGAAATCAAAGTAAAATGGAAGTGTACTGAAGGGCCTAACCATACTCAAGCAATTAAAAATTTTTTGTCACCAAAGACTTAAATTGTAATGCCCTATGTTCTATCATCTTCATGTTATCCTCATAGCGAAAATGTTCTTCAAGCATTGTTATGTAGTCTAAAAAAAACAGAAAGGCAATTGGCAGTTGAAACAATTTTAAAATTAAGAGGAGATTTAGAATACGGAACACTAATGTAAGAAGTAGAAAACATCGTATACATAATGAACATGACTTTTTGATCTAATTGATTGGACTTTGGATGTACACGAACCTTTACTTACATGCTTATTTTCAAAGAATGAACTTTTAAAATACAGTGATATTCCAATGTATGTACCTTGTTTTCCTGTTTATGGGAAAGCTATTGAACAATGTGTCTATGAAGTCACAAGAGCTTCTCAATCGGTATTTGGAAAAGTAATAAGAGATTTTTCATTTGAGCAACATTAGCACATCGAGAAATCATGCCCGTAAACTAATCAAAAAAAGATCTATTTAAATTAATTTAAGCAATATGAATTTTTTTGTTGTTTTGCTTTGGATTTTATCAGTAAGTTGAGCTTTAAATATATTGCATCTTTTAGATGACATTTTTTTAGGACCAATAAATTTTTAATCCTTCAGAAAGTTTTTGAGTTGAAAAAAAATTATTCACGTCTCTTCTAATATCCTAATACATAAAAAAAATATTTCGCGCGCTCCCATATCTAAAATTTTTAAAGTACAACCCACCCTACTGATCGCTTTAGCATTTTAAAATGCTTCAAAACGCAAAAGATGATGTAAAAAGTTAAACGAATAATTTAAAGCAAGGCAAAGATTTAAACATTTGTAATGAGACTATTGCTCGCAACGCCAAGCAAACCGAAAATTGCGGAATAAGTTAAAACTCAAATTGTTGTGAGCCGTGTAGGACGAAAATTGGCTCGGACATGAAAAATAAATTTTTAAATACGTTTAAAAATGTTCTCAACATTCCTTTAACTTTTTAAATATATAACTTCTATATTGTTTTATACATTTATATCAGTTTAACGCAAAACATATGTAAAGTAATCTTTATACTAAACAAACCATTTTCATGGCTTGTTTAGTATAAAGATTACATTACAGATAAGGTTCCATTAAATTGCTAATTAATCATTGCGCGCATACATTAAATTTTTTTTGATAGTATAAGCCTGCAAGACAAATTTATATCGCTGAGATTTATATAGTCTTTTTATATGGCTGTGCAGAGACCGGGCGACCTTAAAAGACATACGGAAATCGACTTTAGCTTGTTTATTAAAAATAATAACAAATCTGATAAACCGAGAGTCTAACCATAACATTGACCGGTTTTTGGATAAACCAATCCGATGTGGCTTCATTAAGTTATTGAGCATTGTTTAAAGACCTGTTCTTATTGTTGGTAAGGTACTTACTTTCCAATACATTTTGCCTGGAAACACCGAATAGCTGCAAATCTATCAAGGTTAAAATCATGATTAGAATTTTCATGCGGTAGCAAATCAACCAAAATTATCACTGTTTTATTTAAAAACAGATCCAGTTTTATGATAAAATAAAATTAATTTTTTTTTGAATTTATATAATTATTATACAAATATATGCAATGTTATAATAATATTGCATAAAATTAAACTTTATGCTTAAATAAATGATGGTTTTATGAGCATAGATTACGGAAATGTAAATTTTTACATTGAAATGCATAAAATCACGAAAATCAATTCATGATTTTATGTATTTGTACATACTACCAATAAGTGCAAATATAACTCTAATTATAATATTAATTGTGATATTAAACATCATATTGTTATTGTTTTAATATGATATTAAATTAATACTATTGATTTAATATCATATTAGGCAATATTATTGGTTTAACATTATCGTATTATTATTATTGTTTAATATCATATATTTTATTATCTTTTTTACTATTGTAATGCTCTTTTTTTAAGTTGCATAAATAAAATACTATTGTGATCCTACAGCTAAGCTGCCAATAATAATTGTGTTTTTTTTTTGTGTGTTGCACTCTTGTCAGTGGAGGCTTTTTAAACATTACAAATATTAAATTAAAATAATCAAAGAAAAAATTGCTGCCTCATGCCAAACCCTCAGTCATTATAGCGGCATTTCCTTGTAGCAGCAGGCTATATAATAATTGATGTAGCAACACTCCCTTGCAGCAACAGGCTATAAGATAGTTGATGTAGCAGCAATCTGTTTTAGCAGCAGGCTATAACATAATCTATGTATGTACTGAAACCAATAAATATTTCTTATGTTTAAAAAGTCTCCATTGTGAAAGCAACAAGAGCCCAATAAGTAAAAAAATACAATTATTTTAAGATGCTTAACTGTAGCTTTATTAATTATAATTATTGCAATATTTGGCATTTTTTTATTATCAAGCTTTAATTTGTAGATCCTATTTAATCCTTTAGATTTCATTTCATCATTTATATATTTAATTCTTACTATTCATTTTCTTAATTCTTACTATTGATTCAATTTTTTGTGCATATTTTGTGCAGTTGGTTTAAAGTGGCGTATTGCTTCTTATCTATTATTATTTCTTTTGATTTAGAAGTACACAAAGAACTAAACTCATACAAGAAATATACAAATAAATTTATGTTTTTAGGCATATTTTAAACCATTTTTGTTAAATTTAGTTAGGTGTTCTTTATTCACCACCTGTAATATTATTTAAACATATTTTTTATCTGACGATAACTCTTTTACTGCTTTTTTTTTTTTGTAGTTCAATTATAATTATGCCAGAACCTACAGGTATTAACCTGAAATTGTAATTTTTTTCAATTTTAGTTTTTTTTTTAATGATATACTATAGTTTGTATCTCAAAATACTCTAATATTGTTAGATTATTGATATTAATTTCAGAAGCTTGCATCATTTCAAATTTAAGGCAGTTAAAAAAAGAATTAACCATTAATGTTGTACTTTATTTTTTAAATGATATGTTGATGACAAACATGCACACTTTTAGAACTTGGTAAAACAGAATTTTTACTAATGTTTTTAATTCTCAAGACAAGGCTATTTACTATTCATGGGAATACTAAAATAGTTGTAATTAATAATTATTTTCTTAGATATCCGCATTTCAACTATTCATATTACTCACAAATATTATTTTCCTCCTAAGTGTTTAATAACAAATGCAATTGATAATATTGAGATTGAAATTGATGATTTCTTGTAGCTTTAATTTATTTGGGCTACAAAAAATATGATTCAAGTAATAATTGGTGTTAACTGTTTGCTTCTCCAGCACAACAATCATTTCAGTCAACTCATATCTTGACATTCCTCATCATACAAAATTTTGGTTCCAAAATTATCTATGTGGAGGAATGCCAAGTTCTACACAATAGTTTTGGTTCCAGAATTGAGATGAACAGCTGGAGTGGGTTTTGATTTGAACAGGGCTAACATCTGTCGATAGAATGTGGATTCGCTTTTTCAACCAACATGATCATCTCGAAGGTAGCCATCTTGTTCTAACCAGTCACAAAAGTTTAAGTGATCATTTCAGTTAGTAGAGTTTTTTTTAGTCAATAAAGATTTTATTGGTTTACAATAAGTCCAGGCTTTACCCCATGGCTGATGTTGGATCAAACATTGTACCGTTGAACAAGAAACTGTTTTGTAGCTGTCAGAAAAGTTTAACTTTTTAGAACAACTTCTTGTTGATGAATTCTACTTGTCTTTTATTTCAGTCATTATTATCTTATTTGATGCTAGTGACAAGATGGTTGGATGGCCACAACATTTCTTTTCATAAAAAGTGCTATTAACAGTCTTTCTTCAGTATTACTGAATACTTTTCTCACTTCAACTAATAGCTGCTGCTGTTTTAGAATTTGGTTTGCCTAATTTATCTAATTCAGCTATCTGTTTCCTGTCAATGTCAAGTTTTGTTTACCTGTAACTTTATCCATCTAAAAATAAGGAGGCAGAGTACTTTGCTCTATAGGATTCCCTATGCTTTCTAGTTCCTCTTCGGAGACTAACGGAGTTTCATTGCTACCATTAGGGGTTAAGGGGTAGTTATCAATAGCTGTTATTTCTAAATTGTCATTTGATGTTTGTACTATAGGAGTTGTTCCGATAGGAGCCAGCTGTTTTGTAGACACTGTAGTCTCATGACCATTAGGAAATCTCACAATGGCATAATGAGGATTTGCTTCAATGAGCTGAGCCTCATTTACTGAATCTTCATATTTACTTTGCATTGAATTTCTTTTTATAAGTACAAGTCCAGGGTTAACAAGCCATGAAGGAATTGAAGACCCAGATGATGATCTTCTTTGAAAATTAAAAAAACGTTCATGTGGACTACAATTAGTAGAAGTACATAATAGAGATCTTGTAGCATGAAGTGCATCAGGCAAAACTCTTTTCCATGATGATATAGACAGATTTCGAGATTTCAGAGTAAGTAATATCGCCTTCCAAATAATTCCATTGTATCTTTCAACTTGCCCATTTCCAGTCGGATTGTAAGGGGTTGTTCTACTAGTTGCGATCCCTTTTGATAAGAACCAGTGCTTTAATTCAGAAGACATTAATGTGGATCCACGATCCGAATGAACATAGCTAGGCATACCAAACATTGAAAAAAGATCAGCTAAACAGTTTATTATTGTCTGAGTTGTCATATCTTTCACAGGATAAGCAAATGGAAAACATGAGTATTCGTCTACAATTGTTAGCATATACTGTTCAGGGGTTGAAGAAGGTAATGGGCCTTTGAAGTCAATAGATATACGTTTGAATGGCTGAGTCGCCTTAATCAGGTGCACATTATTTGGGCGGTAGTACTTGGGTTTTATTACTCTACATATTCTACAATCCCTACATATTTGTTTTACATCTTCTACTGAATAAGGGAGGTTTCTTGATCGAATAAAATGATGGAAGCGAGTAACACCAGGATGGCAAAGTGCAGCATGCAAATTATATAAAGATTCTGAACTTATTGCTGCACATTTAACTCGAGTAAATGTATCTGGACCACTATTACATTGGCCAGGACGATAATGGATATCATAAGAATATGGAGACAAAGCTATTCTCCAACGCATTATTTTATCATTCTTTATTTTACTGCTTGATTTATAATCATACATATACGCCACAGATCGTTGGTCAGTGATGAGAATGAAATGTCGACCCAAAAGAAAATGGCGCCAATGATTTATGGCTTCAACTATCGCTTGAGCTTCTTTCTCCACTGATGAATAGTATTGTTCACTCCCTTGAAGGGTACGTGAATGGAAGGCAACAGGTCTTCCATCCTGATTAAGTGTGGCGGATATGGCAAAATCAGAAGCATCAGTCTCCACAGTAAAAGGTATATTCTCATCAATGGTTTGCATGGAAGATTGAACAAGCTCATTTTTTAATGTTTCAAATGCTGATATTTGCTGCTGATTGAGTGGAAATTGAATAACAGAGTTTAAAGGTCTAATTTTATCTGAAAACTTTCTTATCCATTTTGCATAGTACGAAAACATTCCAATAATTCGCTGTAAAGACTTTGCATTATCAGGTGGGGGTAACTTGATGAGAGGAGCAAGTCTCTGAGGATCTGGTTTTAAAGAGCCATACGATATACGGTAACCTAAAAAATCTAAAGTCTTAGTTGAAAATACACACTTCTCTTCATTAAATGTAATTCCAGCATCAATGGCAGCTAATCTGAACTTAAGTAGATTTTCATCATGTTCTTTCTGACTATTACCGCATATTGTAATGTTATCAATGAAAGGAAAGCAGTCAGTTAGTTTATATTTTCTAACAAAGTCATCTATTTTGCGTTGAAAGCATGCAGATACATTGGTAACTCCAAAAGGCATTCTAGTATATTGCCACAACTTATTGTCAGCTTCAAAAGCAGTATATGGTCGATCTTTTTTTGATAAAGGGATTTGGTAGTAGTCGAGAGTGCTATAAATTTTGTATTTAGAAATTATATTCACAATCGTTTCAATCTTAGGTAGAGGATATGCATCTAATTGAGTATATTTATTAATAGTTTCAGAGTAATCAACAACCATGCGACGTTTAGTCTTTTCATTTACTACTAAGACCTGGGCACGCCAAGGTGAATTACTAGGCTCTATTATTGCTGCTTGAGTCAGGCGATGGATTTCAGATTTAATAAATTCTTTATCTCTTTGAGAATAACTTCTAGATCTAGTGGCAAT